TTATTTTCAAAACAGCAGCAGTAAATTACATTTTTCACTCAGCCCAGCATTGGAGAATATAAATCAGGTTTAATGTCAGCATATGAATGTCCCCATGTGCCTGTACAGAACATTTACATTGAAGTGATGACTGAAATGAATGGTGTACACATTTTACCTGTTTAACAAATGAACTTTCTGTTCTGCAACCTAACAATAATTACTTTAGTATGTGTCATACATTCGGTAACTATAAAGGTCTTTTTTTTAGCTTCCATATTTTATCCCTTAATCCAGAATTACATCAACATTTTACTTCCTTCCTTACCATCTGGGTATCTCTCTACAGGAGGCAATGTGGTGAGAGATCCAGCCCTGAGGATGCGTGCCCGCGCTCTTGCCAAGCCCCTCTTCAATTCCAGTGGATCAGCAGGGGGTTTGGGAAAGGCCTTAAATGGATCCTCAGCATCACAGGGATATGGAAACGTTGGTTTCTGGTGCCACAGAAACATGTCAGCGGCATATGATAGTGTGAACAATGAGCCAGAGATCTGGTCGACTAGTGAAAATACTTCTGTCTAGAAAGAGATCCTATTATTTTAGTTAGTCATTTATTTGTATGTTTTATTTCATATACTGTAATAACATAATCCCATTTATTACAACCAGATAAACTTTCTTCTTGGTTATAAAAACACCAGTGCTGAAGCTTACCTGACATACGGAGGCATTAAATGCATTTTTACATTTACTGCTTTTTCAGCGCAGTTCGGTTCAGTTTTCATGGTAGTATACAGAATATTGCATTACATACTGTAGGTATCTGAGTTTACTGTAAATAATAAAACTGAGACTATTGGTTGTGTGTGTGAGGGAACTTACGTAGTCCAGAGGAGACAGGCGAGTCCCTGAACCTGGCCTTGAGTCAGGAGCATCAAAATTTTGAGCATGAAGACTGTAAAATGAAAAAAATGTCTCATTAGCTTTATAAATTAAATGTGACCACAGCTGATCCCAGAACCTGATAAATGAAATAAGAATTTGGATGAAATTTGTGACTAACCTAAAGGTAGATGGAGGTCTGTTGTCTCCGTCTGCACGAACAGAGCTCTTTCCAAAAAGTTGCCTGTGTCCATCTCTGGGAGTAAGTGGTCGCTGGGTAGACTGGACTCGTAGGAGCTGTCTGGCTTCACTGACTATTTCTGCACTCGTTTTCCTCAAAGTGCTGCGCCGCGGATTGAAAGGGCTGCAAACCTCATGTTTCCTCTCCATAGAGGCCATTTATGTTACATTTGCCAAGACAACCTCCAGATGACATCAGCGGTTTGATTTCATTATGTGAGTGGTTACAGGGTGTATCACTGATGGGAAAAAGAATTTAGAATAATGTGAGAGCAGAAAATGAACCCTAGGTCTAAAATGCTGAGGTTGCAATAAAAATAATTCATTATGCAAATTTTTTTATTTAAAATAGCAACACCACAATGTAAAATTTCTCAAATACAAGTAAAAGTCCTGCATTCAGTCTTATTTGTGACTCTAAACAAAATGTCCCTAAAGTATCAAAAGTAAAAGTAATCATTACTGCAGCAAATTTACCCCGGTCAATGTTAGAGTATTACATGATTAAATTTAAAGGTGCAAATATTAGGCTATTTTTATTACTAATTAATTTGCTAGTTATTTTCTCAATTAATCAATTAACCATTAAGTCTACTTAATGTCAGAAAATAGAAAAGTGACATCCATTTGTCATGTTGGATTAGAACACAGAAACTGAACATCAGTTTGCATGATGGTTGGATTTCCTGCGGTGAAAATCCAAGTCATAATGGTTTTAGTTCGTTTGATTAAACAATAAGTCCAACAGTTTAACCTGCATTCATTAAATTTGGTGGGTTGTACGACTTCATGAGTGAGTGAATGAGAAATTTCTGCGCGTTCACGCTTCGTCTCTATGGTAACCAAATGTCGCTGTCGTAGCTTGAACAACAAACCTAAGAAGCTAAATTACTATATAAAGGGCGGATTTAAAATGCATATCATTAGCTGAGCTAAGAAAACACCCGTTGTGTATAAAACTTTTTATGACTAGACAGAGAGGTGCTAAGAACCAAGGAGCGTTAGAAGAAACCATATTATGAGTGAATGTCTATCCACTGACGTTAGTATAACTGAGAATGGTAGTAAATTAAACTTACCGTTAACCCCGATAGAATCCACTGTATTCCATATTCGGCTTCCACGGTCAAAACTGAAAGACAACAACACCTGAAGTTTGTTGAAAACCTAAGTTTTGGAGCTTTGCAGCAAGGTGCCGCGAGTAAGTCACCTGCACGAGCTCCACTTCATGTCAGTCTCGCGATATCTGGTGACGCGCCTTTAGGTAAAGGTAAAGCTTGGACACAGAATTAATTTCGCGTCACTAATCATCTTGATAAATAAATGCCGCATATATGATGAATAACTAGCTAAGAGGAAACTTAAATGAATTTAAACACGTTGACAGGAGGTTGAAAACGGTGCATCTAAAGTATCTTATTTATTTATTTGTTTGTGTGTTTGTTTGTTTGTTTGTTCATGAGGGCACAGAAGCTATAAGTCCTCGATTAGCTGAAGTACAAGTCCTGGATATAACTACATTTGTCACAGGTAGGCTGTTTTCAGTTTAGTTTAGTTGACATTAAGCGAAAAGGGGCAGTGAATCATAGAAAACAACTTATATTTGTGACACAATATAAATTGATTTCTTTATGTTGGGGCTCTTCATGTAAAGATGCCCATTAGGCCTATGCATATATCAATAAAGGCACTCCAAATTTAACCAAGAAAAATTAATAATTTACATACAAATTACATACCATGTAGTTTCTCATTTGACCATCATTTTCAATATGCTTTTGCTGTATCAAACCATGGCACTATGTCCAAATACATTGTGCACAAATCCATTACAATACTGAAAAATATATTTTTAGTATGTATTCAGTCACGCATATAATGCCTTATAATGTACCTCCTACACTTGGTAACATTCACTGATCTGTAAAAGAAAAAGAGCAAAATTATCTTTAGTAGAACAAATGCACATAATAACCTTTTCCAACATGCACATGCCTGCACACAATAAAATGTTTTTTGTTATAGTGAGAGAATAAAATCTGGTAAATTGTTTTTATAATTAACATGCTAGTAAAAGTCTCTAAGACAAACAGGTTACACAAACCAGAACAGCAATGTTCAATAGTCTATGTCAGATGGTTTTGTGGGTTATATGCTGGAGCCATATATGAAGCAGCTCCAATAAAAATAATTCAGTAGCAGCTAGTCTAACAGTTATGTGTTGCACTCTTACACACAGTGAAGCATAGAGCTTACAGATGATAGATTGTGTGGGATGTTATGTATTCATTAACTTGCATTAGAGACCCTACACTTAAATTCTAAACTCCACTTTTCCCCCACTACTTTCCGATTACCATTCAGATTCCTTCTGTCAGTGTAGTTCTGTTGTTATCATGGGTATATTGTAGCTGGGGTCATAGCTATAGCCTACTTCCCCCTCTCCTGTCATTCATGTTAAAGTCACACAGCTAGCTTGTTCTCTTGACATTCCCACTCTCTTTGACAGAATGATGTGTGGGAAAACAAGTGGAACCTAAATAAAAGTGATATACTTTGTAAAGGGCACTTCATTCAGCTTTACTGAATGTTAAAGAATTACTTCTGGATGACCATGTAATTCAACAAAAGATACAGGGAAATATTCATGACTAAAAATCAATTATACTCTCATATTATCAACATACACAAAAAAGTTAACTATTCACTTTCAGGATAATTGTTCATTTTAGTTAATGAAAAGAAATGTGTTGCCAGCGGGATATTCAGATTTGTCCACCATTTTGTATTTACACAAAGTATGATGTTTCAAAAAGATGAGTGGACACAAAATGGCCACAGACGTACACTGTGTTCGTCAACGAATTTCACTCTGTAATTGCAGTTCACTGCAAGTTGGTCTTTGATGCAACATCCCTGCTAAGGGTGCAGATATCAAAAGCTGTCTGCCCCCTATACTGTAGCTGTACAGGAGAAAAGACCTCCAGTGTTTACCTCTTCTGTCCATTTGCTTTACCATCCCAGCTCTCTTCACGCGTCACATATTGCAACTCAAACATCATCACAGAGAAGTAGTAGGATTTGTTCCATATTTACAAATAAAGTCAGAGTTAAGCTGAACTGCATGATGCAGAAGTTCATTCATTCAACTTGTGCTTCGCTTCAGGTCTGTTGAACTCATCTAGGAAGGTTGAACACCCTAAACACAAATCAGGTCTGTCTGGATTTGCACATTTATCCACTCATAAACCTTTTTCCTTTTATTTTTTTACATGTGAAATATACATCTGAACAATCTTGTGAGCCTCTGGTTGGATTTAAATAGCATTACATGCTTCAGTCTCTTGGATACAGTGAACCTGATTGGCCAGGAGTGCATGCTGGGCATGCCCAATCACAGGGTATCACCACGGAGCTTACCCGCCAATGGGAGGAAGAAAATGGTCTCTGTGATTTCATTGTCACCAAGGGAGGGGGAAACATTGTGCCAGGACAGTTGGCACTAACATGCTAAGCAGTGGGCTCTATTATATTCAGTGGGTATATGTTTGAGATAACCGGTGGTGCCAGATCAAGAGCAAAAGTGGAGAAAAGCACAAGGCAGGTCTTAAGATGAAGCTGCTCTCACCAGGAAGTAAACAGTCCCTGGTACACAAGCTCATAGTACACCCACGTCACTGTTATTGATGCTGCTCATGTCACAGGGATGAACGGGTTGATTTGAGAGCCACTGTCTTGCTTGAAGGTGGTGCATCTCCATGGCAACAAGCTCCATCTTTGGCCAGAAGCTTAGACTGACAGCGAGCACTCCGCTCACAAGACAGGGGCTTCGTTACTCTCCCTTGATCACCAATCAAATCCAGGTTTGACCCTTACCAGACTGGTATATCTTCTTCTGTCTATCCTTCTGACTTTTTCCTTTAACATATTTTATGCCAAAAAAAGTGCTTCCTGTCCTTCATCCCCTCTAAAAACCTTGACATGTTCATCTGTTGAAATATAACTTGTTCTTTTAAATATATTTGTAATATTGTAATGTGAATTTTAGTCCTTGATATTTTTGTTTTCCAATTTTTATTTCTCTATTTCACAGATCTTTTTAATGTATTTTACAAACTCCCAAGCTGAATGTATAGTTTAAAGCTTTAAATCCAAAACATGCAACTACAGTCTTTTGAAAAAGTTTAAAATCTTGCAAATATCCATTTAATGGCTTTTTCCAGATCTCTAGGATAACTGAGAAAACTCCATCCACTGATGAAGGCCACAAGGTGTGTCTGAAAGCCCCATTGGATTTCTAGTAAGTGGATCTTAAGTTGAGCTGTTGTCATTCCCAATATACTGATTCTACTCTTTGAAACATCGTTGTTTAGAAACTTTTAATAGAGTTTGAAACTTAAATATTATTTCATGGTGAGTTTTCTTACATAAGCAAATATGGTACTTTTTTTTATTTCTTAATCACTGGTGTCTGTTTTGTAATGGGACAGAGGTTATTCTGTTTTACTCCAGATGTGTCAGCTCGCTCTAGCTCTCTTTTTTAACATCTAAGCCTTTTACAAAGTCTTTTGTCAGCATTTCCTGCTGTGACTCAAGAAACTGCCTGAGTTAAACTTTTCTGAGCCAGCAGGTTGCTGTTAGAACATGACAGAAATTAGCAGTGAGTTATTCTTAGGTTTTGCTCTTAGTCAGCAGCCAGCTTTTTTCTGACAGACATGAAAACTAACTGCTAATCTTTCAGCACTGCTGCTGTTGTTACAAGCTACGTGATTCAAAGTACACATTTAGTTAAAAAAAATCTAAAATGCAATAGGCTGATCAAAGGATGTTTATAAGAAGGAATGATGTCTCATATAGGAAGCAGAGGAAAGAATAATGTGTGCTATGTATATTTTGTGGGGATAAAAAGATGCAATAACTTCTGTTACTTGACAGCTCTCACTTCACCTGTTCATTGCTGGCTGTTGGTTTAATTAGAGAAGGAAAGACAAAAAAGTCCAGGTACTGTGAGATGGGCAGAGAGAGAGAGAGAGAGAGAGAGAAACACTTAAATATACAGTCAGTACTTTTTAATCCATGCAGTCATTGTCCTTGGCAGTAGTGTTTTAATGCCAGGCAGTCCACATTTGTGTGATGAGGTGAGGAGACTTTCCACATTGTTCAGTCAGAAGCAGAAGTGGGCAGAAAGCCAGACGCTCCTGCTTCGACTAAGAGCGAATGAACACTGTACACAGACATAATGCAGACATGGCAGGCAGACAGTCGCCATCTTATCACTCATCTCTTTTTGAGTGCATGGAAAATAAAATAACTCACACACACACACTCGTATTACCCATAGAAAAGCTTCTTTAAAAGCCTAGTCCAGGGCACAAGGACATGCAGGTGTCATGAGATGCCACAAAATAAAAATAACTGGAATTACCACTTTGTGGTTTTATGCCTCCACCAACCAGTCAAATTCATGGGGATAGAAAAGACGTGAGGTTGCTGTGTCCTTTGACAACCAAAATCTAATCAGTTCATCCTTGAGCTGAAGTGGACACATGCCAGAACAAATTTTCTCAAGGTGTTTCTATGAGATATCGTGTTCACAAGAATGGGTTAAATGTGAGGTCACTGTGACCCTGACCTTTAACCACCAAAAATCTAGTCCGTTCATCCTTGAACCTAAGTGGACACATACTAAATTTGAACATATTCCCTTAAAGCAATCCTGAGATAGTGCATTTGCGAGAATGGGCTGGATGAATGGGCAGACAAATGAAAAACACAATGCCTCTGGCCACCACTATTGCCAGTTGGGATGCATTAAAAGACAGGCAGATAGATGAAAACAAAAAATTATTGCTACTACTATCTATTGTTATTTACTGCATCAATATCAATAGGAGGGACTGTTTTCCACAGCTCCTCAGCTTCAGTACAATTACAGGCAGGTTACTGTGTTTTACCTGTAAGTAAGTGGCTTGTTGGGTGAAGCATAAAGTAGCCTACACCTGACGGTATATGTCTGAAGCCTATGTCTGAAGGTAACAAAATGCACCTGCAGTATCAGCACTTAAAGCTTAATAACTAACAGCTATATGTTGTTTGGTTTTATACAAATTAAAGTGTAAAAATGACAAGTTGTGGTTTAGCAAGGATTTATGTGCTGCACTATTTCTTACCTTTGGGCAGGGCCAGGTTAGCTGCTTCCTTATTGTGTTTATTGATGGTTGTTTCCTCGGTCTTTATACGAAGCTAACTCGCTGCTAGTTGTAGCTTTATATTTATCCTGCAGACAAGAGAGTGGCATCAATCTTCTCTGGCTCGTAGCAAGTGAACAAATACAATGTGCTTTTGTTTCACAATGTTGAGCTATTTGTTTAGAATATCAAACCATTTTACTCCTGCATTTTTGTCTCGCAGGAGTAAAATGTCATATAGAAACTGGTTTTTGATTCACCTGCCATCACCCTGACAGATCCCAGTCAGGCATATCCATCTCAATTTGTATGCTAATCAAAATGCAGGTGACTCAGCCCTATCTCGATGGAGCTTGTCTATTACTATGAATAGATATGCGAGTGTGTGTGTTGATCTGCCTGTGTGCTTCACAGAGTCCCTCCCCTGCATCAGCCCTCGCAACACTTTTCACCAAGGCCATCTGACCACACAAACATCCTTAACACAGATATCCTTGTGCTTTTTCAGTTTCTCAAGCTGTGACATATTGCTAGATGAAATGTTAATGCAGACTATGTTCTGTCCTGCGCTAGAGAGTTGCTCCCCCTCATGCTGTTTGCCCTCAAAGGAAAGAAAAAAGATTCAGTTTAATATGTGAGCATCAAGGTCCCTGCTTGGCACTCTCACAATAGGCTTTTCTCAACAAGTACACACAGGGAGCTGGTGAAGGCCATCAGTGCCTGCCTCGCTCTTTTACAGATTTTATTCTTTTCATGCTTTGGTGCATTTATCAGGGTCACACATTTGTAAGTGCCTGTGTGTGTCTAACCTTCTCCCTTTTACTTGAATGTCTTTTGTTCATTTGTGTTACAAAACCAATGATGCAATCATGCTCTTTTATCAGGAGAGAAGAAAATATGAAATGGTATATTATCTTTCATAATCCCACATCACATTATAAGAAATAGGTTAAACTGAGATGAACTCTGAATGCTTATCCTGAAATGCAATAAGAAAAAAAAGTGAATTGTTTTTTATATTATTTATATTTAGGCTAAAAGTTATGAATAATTAAGGGCATGTCTGTTTTGAGTGACAGGCAGGAGGGAACCACCACGGGTGGCTGGCCGCTAGCTATCTAGCAAGCTCCACCACTTTGCTCATTTTTGAATTAGCCGGAGTTAGGACCATGACACCCCAAGCCTTTCTATGCTTTCTACGGGCACGCAAACGGAACGTATACTGTACAGTATGTGTTCATATAAAATGAAATATTTCTATTTTTGCTGCAATAACAATTCTTTTTAGTATACTTTGGATTTTGTTAACTCCTCTGCTGCCTGGTGTTTTTGCAAAGGAAACAGTTTGTCCTTCAACACTTTTCTACAGTTTAAATAAGGATGGAAAAAAGAAAAAGCATAGATTAAGAAGAACACAGCTGATTTCCAAATAGTATCATTGCTTTTACAAATATAGCTGCTGGGTCTTGAGACATTAAAAGCTTAATTTTTATAGATTTGTAGGTCAAAGGAAACAGGATATGCCAGTTTAGTTCAAACTACTGTTTCCCCCTTACACAAGATTCAAAACAAGAACTAATTTTGCTGCCAAGTTGCCTTTAATTCATAACGAAAACCATGAATTTTTGTACACATGCCATTTTTTCTCTCCTTTAGACACCACTCTTAAAATCCTTTGATTATTTTTAAAGAAAAATAATTGGAACAACAAAGTATGGTCATTTGTAAAATATGCATTTTAGGGGCAACATACATATACAGTAGATGAACAAGTGAAGCAAATCTTATGGTTTCATTATTATTATCCTGGACCACGCATGCTTGGTCCAGGATAATATTTCATGTTTATGGAACTGTGGAATGTTGAGGAAAAATACTAGACACAAATGTATAATGGTGCCATAGGACAACAACTGGCACAAATGCCAATAAAGAGTTGTCTGTCAGAGTGTACTGGTGCATGCTGACATGAGGGTGCAACACTCATCACAAGGAAAACAAACCCTTTGACCCCTGTTGTACTTTTAGAGACACAAGGAAGCTGGGCCAAGTGGAACACAATCTAGGAACATTTACAGGACACAGTTGTCCCTGGCTCACATTGTGAATTCCCATACAAACCGCACATGTCAAGACCAAACCACATTTTTAAAACAAGAACTGAACATCTAGTATAAACCCAAGTATAAACAAATTCTAAAATAGGAAAATTAGACTGAACCCACATGCATCAGAATGACCTGCTGTGCCTGCTGCATGTTATCCTGCACATCTGTTAAGATCCCTTAGTGGAGCACAACTCAAGCAGCATTCATTCATAAATAGAAATTACTCACACACATAAATAACAAAGCATGGAGATGGTACAGATTATTGTGTGTAAACGTGCAGGTTTGCATATTTTTGCTCTCATGCAAGGATTCATCAAAGTCAGAAACCAAAGCCACAAATTGTACTTTACATGAGCTCACACACACACACACACGCAAACATAAACACACAGCCATACATGTCAATAGTCAGAACACATACTCAAACACATATGCAGCACAGATGAGAAGGGTAGGGAAGTAATTCTCTGTCACACAGGCTTAAACACAAACACGAACACAAGCATGTGAATGTCACAAACATGTGAATGTCATATGCTGAGGACAAATTGACAGAAGATGGACATTAAACAAACACAAAAAATCTAATTAAACAGCATGTGGTCTGTAAAGTCATGTGTTGTTCATGTGTGGTATAATTAGCGTTAGTCATGCAGGCTGTTGCTTCTTGAGCAGCTTGGCCATTTTTTAGAAACTTTTAACATATTCATGAAAAATTAGAGTGCAGAAGATTAGAACTGTGTTATGTTGGATGCTGACTTCACCTCCCTATTGGCTCATTTTATGGCAGATTAGCTCCACTTTGTCTCACCAGCCAACACACCATCACCATCAATCCTTAACATAAAGGCAACAGGATGGATGGGGGTGGGGTAATGCAGCTAGGTGAGTAAAGGCCATAATTCAGTCCTGTGGACATCCTATGTGCACACTCATACATGTGTACATGCACACACACACACACACACACACACACACACACACACA